AGGGGATGATGTGGTCAGGGGATGATGTGGTCAGGGGATGATGTGGTCAGGGGATGATGTGGTCAGGTAGATTGGTCAGGGGATGATGTGGTCAGGGGATGATGTGGTCAGGTAGATTGGTCAGGGGATGATGTGGTCAGGGGATGATGTGGTCAGGGGATGATGTGGTCAGGGGATGATGTGGTCAGGGGATGATGTGGTCAGGTAGATTGGTCAGGGGATGATGTGGTCAGGGGATGATGTGGTCAGGGGATGATGTGGTCAGGGGATGATGTGGTCAGGGGATGATGTGGTCAGGGGATGATGTGGTCAGGTAGATTGGTCAGGGGATGATGTGGTCAGGGGATGATGTGGTCAGGTAGATTGGTCAGGGGATGATGTGGTCAGGGGATGATGTGGTCAGGGGATGATGTGGTCAGGGGATGATGTGGTCAGGGGATGATGTGGTCAGGTAGATTGGTCAGGGGATGATGTGGTCAGGGGATGATGTGGTCAGGGGATGATGTGGTCAGGGGATGATGTGGTCAGGTAGATTGGTCAGGGGATGATGTGGTCAGGGGATGATGTGTTCAGGGGATGATGTGGTCAGGTAGATTGGTCAGGGGATGATGTGGTCAGGTAGATTGGTCAGGGGATGATGTGGTCAGGGGATGATGTGGTCAGGTAGATTGGTCAGGGGATGATGTGGTCAGGGGATGATGTAGTCAGGTAGATTGGTCAGGGGATGATGTGGTCAGGGGATGATGTGGTCAGGGGATGATGTGGTCAGGGGATGATGTGGTCAGGGGATGATGTGGTCAGGGGATGATGTGGTCAGGGGATGATGTGGTCAGGTAGATTGGTCAGGGGATGATGTGGTCAGGGGATGATGTGGTCAGGTAGATTGGTCAGGGGATGATGTGGTCAGGGGATGATGTGGTCAGGGGATGATGTGGTCAGGGGATGATGTGGTCAGGGGATGATGTGGTCAGGGGATGATGTGGTCAGGTAGATTGGTCAGGGGATGATGTGGTCAGGGGATGATGTGGTCAGGGGATGATGTGGTCAGGGGATGATGTGGTCAGGGGATGATGTGGTCAGGGGATGATGTGGTCAGGTAGATTGGTCAGGGGATGATGTGGTCAGGGGATGATGTGGTCAGGTAGATTGGTCAGGGGATGATGTGGTCAGGGGATGATGTGGTCAGGGGATGATGTGGTCAGGGGATGATGTGGTCAGGGGATGATGTGGTCAGGGGATGATGTGGTCAGGGGATGATGTGGTCAGGGGATGATGTGGTCAGGGGATGATGTGGTCAGGTAGATTGGTCAGGGGATGATGTGGTCAGGGGATGATGTGTTCAGGGGATGATGTGGTCAGGTAGATTGGTCAGGGGATGATGTGGTCAGGTAGATTGGTCAGGGGATGATGTGGTCAGGGGATGATGTGGTCAGGTAGATTGGTCAGGGGATGATGTGGTCAGGGGATGATGTAGTCAGGTAGATTGGTCAGGGGATGATGTGGTCAGGTAGATTGGTCAGGTGATGATGTGGTCAGGTAGATTGGTCAGGTGATGATGTGGTCAGGTAGATTGGTCAGGTGATGATGTGGTCAGGTAGATTGGTCAGGGGATGATGTGGTCAGGTAGATTGGTCAGGGGATGATGTGGTCAGGGGATGATGTGGTCAGGTAGATTGGTCAGGGGATGATGTGGTCAGGTAGATTGGTCAGGTGATGATGTGGTCAGGGGATGATGTGGTCAGGTAGATTGGTCAGGTAGATTGGTCAGGGGATGATGTGGTCAGGTAGATTGGTCAGGGGATGATGTGGTCAGGTAGATTGGTCAGGGGATGATGTGGTCAGGGGATGATGTGGTCAGGTAGATTGGTCAGGGGATGATGTGGTCAGGTAGATTGGTCAGGGGATGATGTGGTCAGGGGATGATGTGGTCAGGTAGATTGGTCAGGGGATGATGTGGTCAGGGGATGATGTGGTCAGGTAGATTGGTCAGGGGATGATGTGGTCAGGGGATGATGTGGTCAGGTAGATTGGTCAGGGGATGATGTGGTCAGGTAGATTGGTCAAGGGGTGATGTGGTCAGGGGATGATGTGGTCAGGGGATGATGTGGTCAGGGGATGATGTGGTCAGGTAGATTGGTCAGGGGATGATGTGGTCAGGTAGATTGGTCAAGGGGTGATGTGGTCAGGGGATGATGTGGTCAGGGGATGATATGGTCAGGGGATGATATGGTCAGGGGATGATGTGGTCAGGTAGATTGCTCAAGGGGTGATGTGGTCAGGGGATGATGTGGTCAGGTAGATTGGTCAAGGGATGATGTGGTCAGGGGATGATGTGGTCAGGGGATGATGTGGTCAGGGGATGATGTGGTCAGGTAGATTGGTCAGGGGATGATGTGGTCAGGGGATGATGTGGTCAGGGGATGATGTGGTCAGGGGATGATGTGGTCAGGGGATGATGTGGTCAGGTAGATTGGTCAGGGGATGATGTGGTCAGGGGATGATGTGGTCAGGTAGATTGGTCAAGGGATGATGTGGTCAGGGGATGATGTGGTCAGGGGATGATGTGGTCAGGGGATGATGTGGTCAGGTAGATTGGTCAAGGGATGATGTGGTCAGGGGATGATGTGGTCAGGGGATGATGTGGTCAGGGGATGATGTGGTCAGGGGATGATGTGGTCAGGGGATGATGTGGTCAGGGGATGATGTGGTCAGGGGATGATGTGGTCAGGGGATGATGTGGTCAGGGGATGATGTGGTCAGGGGATGATGTGGTCAGGGGATGATGTGGTCAGGTAGATTGGTCAGGGGATGATGTGGTCAGGGGATGATGTGGTCAGGTAGATTGGTCAGGGGATGATGTGGTCAGGGGATGATGTGGTCAGGGGATGATGTGGTCAAGGGATGATGTGGTCATGGGATGATTTGGTCAGGGGATGATGTGGTCAGGGGATGATGTGGTCAGGGGATGATGTGGTCAGGGGATGATGTGGTCAGGGGATGATGTGGTCAGGTAGATTGGTCAGGGGATGATGTGGTCAAGGGATGATGTGGTCAGGGGATGATGTGGTCAGGGGATGATGTGGTCAGGGGATGATGTGGTCAGGGGATGATGTGGTCAGGGGATGATGTGGTCAGGGGATGATGTGGTCAGGGGATCATGTGGTCAGGGGATGATGTGGTCAGGTAGATTGGTCAGGGGATGATGTGGTCAGGTAGATTGGTCAGGGGATGATGCGGTCAGGGGATGATGTGGTCTGGGGATGATTTGGTCAGGGGATGATGTGGTCAGGGGATGATGTGGTCAGGTAGATTGGTCAGGGGATGATGTGGTCAGGTAGATTGGTCAGGGGATGATGCGGTCAGGGGATGATGTGGTCAGGGGATGATGTGGTCAGGGGATGATGTGGTCAGGTAGATTGGTCAAGGGATGATGTGGTCAGGGGATGATGTGGTCAGGTAGATTGGTCAGGGGATGATGTGGTCAGGGGATGATGTGATCAGGTAGATTGGTCAGGGGATGATGTGGTCAGGGGATGATGTGGTCAGGGGATGTGGTCAGGGGATGATTTGGTCAGGTAGATTGGTCAGGGGATGATGTGGTCAGGGGATGATGTGGTCAGGTAGATTGGTCAGGGGATGATGTGGTCAGGGGATGATGTAGTCAGGTAGATTGGTCAGGGGATGATGTGGTCAGGTAGATTGGTCAGGGGATGATGTGGTCAGGGGATGATGTGGTCAGGTAGATTGGTCAGGGGATGATGTGGTCAGGTAGATTGGTCAGGTGATGATGTGGTCAGGGGATGATGTGGTCAGGTAGATTGGTCAGGGGATGATGTGGTCAGGGGATGATGTGGTCAGGTAGATTGGTCAGGGGATGATGTGGTCAGGTAGATTGGTCAGGGGATGATGTGGTCAGGGGATGATGTAGTCAGGTAGATTGGTCAGGGGATGATGTGGTCAGGGGATGATGTGGTCAGGGGATGATGTGGTCAGGGGATGATGTGGTCAGGGGATGATGTGGTCAGGGGATGATGTGGTCAGGGGATGATGTGGTCAGGTAGATTGGTCAGGGAATGATGTGGTCAGGTAGATTGGTCAAGGGGTGATGTGGTCAGGGGATGATGTGGTCAGGGGATGATATGGTCAGGGGATGATGTGGTCAGGTAGATTGCTAAAGGGGTGATGTGGTCAGGGGATGATGTGGTCAGGGGATGATGTGGTCAGGGGATGATGTGGTCAGGGGATGATGTGGTCAGGGGATGATGTGGTCAGGGGATGATGTGGTCAGGGGATGATGTGGTCAGGTAGATTTGTCAAGGGATGATGTGGTCAGGGGATGATGTGGTCAGGGGATGATGTGGTCAGGGGATGATGTGGTCAGGGGATGATGTGGTCAGGTAGATTGGTCAGGGGATGATGTGGTCAGGGGATGATGTGGTCAGGGGATGATGTGGTCAGGGGATGATGTGGTCAGGGGATGATGTGGTCAGGGGATGATGTGGTCAGGTAGATTGGTCAGGGGATGATTTGGTCAGGGGATGATGTGGTCAGGGGATGATGTGGTCAGGGGAAGATCTGGTCAGGGGATGATGTGATCAGGTAGGATTAGTATTATTGTCTTACACTAACCCTTGCTTTAACTATTAGCGCTAATGCTTATTTAGTCATACAGCATTTAAAGATTATATGTTTAAAACATAAAAAAGGAAAGTGGGAGTGATCTCCCCATAACAATTTTGTAATTTCTTATTTAACAGTATGGGGGGGGGGGGGTTGTACTTTCAGTGCAATAGTGCTATAGAAAAAAGATGTGTGCACAAATAAATGGTAACAATGAAAATACTGAAAATTAATACTTTTCAAAAGTTAAACATCCAATAAAGTTACATTTTATGTCAATGTGCATTGTTATTGAGTTATAGTTATGAAAACAGTAAAGATAGTCATTGACTGAAATAAGCATGCAATCAATGAAACGAGATGGTATGATGTGGACTTACCTCAAGAAGTGAACAGCTTTCTTTCAGGCACTGGTCCATAAAGTCCCTCCTGGCCAGAACAAAGGCTGACAGACAAAATTTGAAGAGCTGAAATGCTAAAGTGTAAAATTTGGGCAGCTCGTCTAAAAGTTGGCAATTCATGGCTTCATAATCATGTTTAGCCTGCACAAGTTCCTAGTTGGAGAAAAAATACACATGAAAATATTCAGAAAATCTTAAACTACACTTGTATTTTCAAAAGTAAAAATTATTTGAAACTAAATCTCAGCATTAATTACACATTTGTTTTGAGTAAACTGCGATAAACAAAATTTAAAAAGAAATTTGAGGTGTAAAGGGGGTTGGGGGTATGGGTTGGCTATCCATGAAGATTTCTTGTCATGAATTAGGCCAGGCAAGGAATGGTCAAAATAGAGAAGAACTGAAAGCATAGGTTGTCATCAGTGAGAAAGGTGCAGCTACCTTGTCATTCTCTGCCTTGCCCAGTTGATGATTGTAGTCCAGTAGTTTATCAAAGCGTTTCTCTATCACATGACCCGGTGCATTGAATAATCCAACTAGGACATGCAGCGGTTCTTCCACATTCAACCTCATCTTCTCTTTCTGTACACAAGAGTAGAACACAAAGTTTAGTGGCAGAAGGGGGTGGGAGGGGGGGTGAGAGTGGAACACAGTTTAGTGGCAGAAAGGGGGGGGTGTTCCCAAAGTCTGAATCAGCTATAAAACTAGTGTATCCACCATTCAACTATAAAACTAGTGTACCCACCATTCAGCTATACATCTAGGGTACCCACCATTCAACTATAAACCTAGTGTATCCACCATTCAGCTATAAACCTAGGGTACCCACCATTCAACTATAAACCAAATGTACCCACCATTCAGCTATAAACCTAGGGTACCCACCATTCAACTATAAACCAAATGTACCCACCATTCAACTATAAACCAAATGTACCCACCATTCAACTATAAACCTAGGGTACCCACCATTCAGCTATAAATCTAGGGTACCCACCATTCATCTATAAACCTAGTGTATCCACCATTCAGCTATAAATCTAGGGTACCCACCATTCAGCTATAAACCTAGGGTACCCACCATTCAACTATAAACCTAGGGTACCCACCATTCAGCTATAAATCTAGGGTACCCACCATTCATCTATAAACCTAGGGTACCCACCATTCAACTATAAACCTAGGGTACCCACCATTCAACTATAAACCTAGTGTATCCACCATTCAGCTATAAACCTAATGTACCCACCATTCAGCTATAAACCTAGGGTACCCACCATTCAACTATAAACCTAGGGTACCCACCATTCAGCTATAAACCTAGGGTACCCACCATTCAGCTATAAACCAAATGTACCCACCATTCAGCTATAAATCTAGGGTACCCACCATTCAGCTATAAACCTAGGGTACCCACCATTCAACTATAAATCTAGGGTACCCACCATTCAGCTATAAACCAAATGTACCCACCATTCAGCTATAAACCTAGGGTACCCACCATTCAGCTATAAACCTAGGGTACCCACCATTCAGCTATAAACCTAGGGTACCCACCATTCAACTATAAACCTAGGGTACCCACCATTCAGCTATAAACCTAGGGTACCCACCATTCAGCTATAAACCAAATGTACCCACCATTCAGCTATAAACCTAGGGTACCCACCATTCAGCTATAAACCTAGGGTACCCACCATTCAGCTTTAAACCTAGGGTACCCACCATTCATCTATAAACCTAGGGTACCCACCATTCAACTATAAACCTAGGGTACCCACCATTCAGCTATAAACCTAGGGTACCCACCATTCAGCTATAAACCAAATGTACCCACCATTCAGCTATAAACCTAGGGTACCCACCATTCAACTATAAACCTAGGGTACCCACCATTCAGCTATAAACCTAGGGTACCCACCATTCAACTATAAATCTAGGGTACCCACCATTCAGCTATAAACCTAGGGTACCCACCATTCAACTATAAACCTAGGGTACCCACCATTCAACTATAAATCTAGGGTACCCACCATTCAACTATAAATCTAGGGTACCCACCATTCAGCTATAAACCTAGTGTATCCACCATTCAACTATAAACCCACCATTTGGCTGTATAGCTGCACCACTTTATTGACAACTTCACTGAGTTTCTTGGCTTCTAGAGAATCTTTTCCAGCAAAAAATTCTTTGATGTCCATGGCAACCAATTCCTGGCACTTTATCGTTTCCTGTAGCAGATAATCATAAAGATAATCTCTATTCATTTTTAAGCTGATTTATCTAATTGATTACTATCAACCAATTGTGTTTTTAATTTCATTTTATTCCTCTTCTTCTTCTTCTTCTTCGTTCTTAATTATTAGTGTTGAAGGGGATCGAGATTTATCTGCCAGTGGGTTTGAACTCGAGACTTTGTTCGAATTTATCAACCATGAGCTTTTTTCCGACTCGACCACGCCTCCAACACAATTAA